CCCCAATGCTCATTCTAAATGGCCCCCCCCCAATGCTCATTCTAAATGGCACCCCCAATGCTCATTCTTAATAGTACCCCAATGCTCATTCTAAATGGCTCCCCAATGCTCATTCTAAATGGCTCCCCCAATGCTCATTCTTAATAGTACCCCAATGCTCATTTTAAATGGCACCCCAATGCTCATTCTAAATGGCTCCCCAATGCTCATTCTAAATGGCATCTCAATGCTCATTCTAAATGGCTCCCCAATGCTCATTCTAAATGGCTCCCCAATGCTCATTCTTAATGGCTCCCCAATGCTCATTCTTAATGGCTCCCCAATGCTCATTCTTAATGGCTCCCCAATGCTCATACTAAATGGCTCCCCAATGCTCATTCTAAATGGCTCCCCAATGCTCATTCTGAATGGCTCCCCAATGCTCATTATAAATGGCTCCCCAATGCTCATTATAAATGGCTCCCCAATGCTCATTATAAATGGCTCCCCAATGCTCATTCTAAATGGCTCCCCAATGCTCATTCTAAATGGCACACCAATGCTCATTCTTAATGACACCCCAATGCTCATTCTAAATGGCACCCTAATGCTCATTCTTAATGACACCCCAATGCTCATTCTAAATGACACCCCGATGCTCATTGTAAATGGCACCCCAATGTTCGTTCTTAATAGTACCCCAATGCTCATTCTAAATGACACCCCGATGCTCATTGTAAATGGCACCCCAATGTTCGTTCTTAATAGTACCCCAATGCTCATTCTAAATGGCTCCCCAATGCTCGTTCTAAATTCTAAATGGCTCCCCAATGCTCATTCTAAATGGCACCCCCAATGCTCATTCTTAATAGTACCCCAATGCTCATTCTAAATGACACCCCGATGCTCATTGTAAATGGCACCCCAATGTTCGTTCTTAATAGTACCCCAATGCTCATTCTAAATGGCACCCCAATGCTCGTTCTAAATTCTAAATGGCTCCCCAATGCTCGTTCTAAATTCTAAATGGCTCCCCAATGCTCGTTCTAAATGGCACCCCAATGCACCTCCTACTGCAACACAATGCTATTTGCTTCTACCGCAATGCACGCTGGAATGTACATTGGGGAGGGCATTGTAGTTCACCTCTGGAGATTATAGTTCTCATACACAAATGCAGCTTCTTATCACTACACTCTGCGCTGCTCTATTATAACTCCGGCACAGGACCGCGCTCTCCTCTCCGGCAGCTTTGGCCATCAGATATATTTCCCCAACAATTTAATTGTGCTACTCCAGCCGCACAGCGCAGCTCATAAATCCTGGGATTAATTTACCAAAAAGACGCCTTATATAATGCAGAGAAAGATAGATTGTGATCAGAGCGTCTCATCTGACACAGCAGACGCTTTTCTGAGGCTCCGCCGTAATGACCGAACGATGTTCAGGAAGAATTAAAGTGTCATTCCACCCTGCGGAAAACTTAGCTATGGCGACTTGGACTATAGCGTGTGTGTGGGCGGCTCTGGTCACCTGTGCTGGAGAAGGATTGGCGGCTGTTACACTGTATCATACAATGAGGAGAATTTATCAAAACTGGAGCAGACAAAATCTGGAGCAGCTGTGCATGGCAACCAATCAGCTTCTCTCTTTCATTTTAAAATCTTAACTGAACAAACTAAAGAGAGATGCTGATTTGGTTGCCATGCACATCTACTGCAGATTTTGTCTGCTCCAGTTTTGATAAATTCTCCGCAATGTATCTAACGCCGAGAACAAATATATATTATTTAGCAGCTCGTCAGTCCTTGAGAGCCCAGTCACACCATAGCACTGCGCTAAGGGGGGCGGTTTCTGTGCGTTTAATTACGCTAGTGCACAACGCAATGCTGCTCCTGTAAACATCAAGGATGCTGCTCCTTGATGTTTACAGAATCAGATGGTCCCCTAAGCAGTGGCCCTGATATCCTGCTTTAGGGTGTTCCCTTTCCCTTGCTCCTATGGAGCCACCCTTGTGTGTGCTAGTAAGCTGTGTGTGTCTATACAAAGACACAGGAACAGCAAGACAACCCATTACCCTCTCCCCTGCTTCTTTCTACAAGCTAGTATGGACGGCTGCTTTGTCCATTGTGATCTTGTATTGGACAGGAAGTTCAGGGAAGCCGAGCTGAGAGAGTTAGAGCTGTTTAGAAACATGATGACTGTAAGTGGTTGGGCAAAAATGTAAAGAAATAATTTGCTGGGTGATGTGTATATGTTTGATTTGGATTCTTTACTGAAAAAAGTCTGAGAGTTTAATACTTCTTTCAGTGCAGCATTGTCAGCTCACCTAATTCCCGGCAGGATCAACAGGTTTTATTTTTGCACCTATACACCAAAATGCTTTCACTGGTATATTTACAGACCAAAAGGGAGCCAATAGGAGATGATTTGAGGATCTACAGTAAATCAGATACATTTCTGTTCATAGTTGAGGCATTTGGATGTATTTTGTAAGGTTTATCTCCTGAGTTCAGTGTCACTTTAAATGGGTTAATACCTTTGCAATACATAGTTAGTAAAATTTGTTGATATGACGGATTGAATCTCAAAGAATATCTGGCTGTGTGTAGCCGTCTCCAGCCTTTCATGGCCATTGGGTTCAGAAACTCTGCAGCATCCCTCTGGCATCCCTCAATCGCACATTTAAAGTGTATGCAAAGGTATCAACCCGTTTAAAGTGACACCAAACTCAGGAGATAAATCTTAAAATACATTCAAGTACCCTAACTATTAACAAAAATGTATCTTATGTGTGTATCACTCAGCTGTAGATCCTCCAATCATCTCTGAATTGGTGCTGACACTGTCCTTCCTTCTAGAGGGTGACTACTTTTGTTCCCCATGGTCCCTGTGTGTGTTGTAAAGTAGTCACCGCTTCAAGCTCGCTCCTGTGATGGACTACAATCTCAATACAAATAAATAATCTAAACATGAGATTGTAGTCCATCACCGGAGCAAGCTTGGAGGGGTGGCTACTTTACAACACACACAGGGACCATGGGGAACAAAAGTAGCCTCCTCCAGAAGGAAGGACAGTGTTGGCACCAATTCAGAGATGATTGGAGGATCTACAGGCGAGTGATACACAAGTAAGATTCATTTCTGTTAATAGTTAAGGTACTTGAATGTATATTTAAGATTTAACTCCTGAGTTTAGTGTCAGTTTAAAGTTCATCCATTGGGGTTGTCAACGTCATCATGACCAGCTTCCAGGCTCAGATGAGTGTCTGGAGCCCCTTCCAGGTCCCCGCTTTGCATACAATGACACGGCCGATTTTCCACTGCTATGTCATCAGCATCCAAATCCCGATTTTATAAAGTAAAATTTGTTTCTGCAGCCGGCTGCTGGACGCCTCATTACTGGCGACTGATTCCACTTTTCCGGACCAATGTATGTTGCTGTATGGGTCACCCCCGGCACAGAACCGATCATTTATAAAATGTTCAGGAAGATTTTGTCGTAGTGAATAATGATTGAATCACTTTCATAGCAATCATGTGAATGCTGCTCACCCATCACCACTACAACTTCTTCACCTTCATCCACATTCACACTCACATCATCTACAATGGAATATCAGCCTCATAGCCGAGTTTACTAAACACATAGAGAACACAATTGTCTATCAGAGGACTGTGAGAACAAGACATGTAGATGTCTCCGGCCTTACAAAGTCTATCAGTCTTCTAGATTCCGGGGATACAGAGGAGGTACAAGTCCTTCAGAGCCTCCTGCCTCAAACATGGTACTTTATAGATCCAACAACTGTCTGCAACTGGAACCACTGAGATAGAAAGCCAGAGAGAGGAGGAAAGACAGCCAGGGAGGTGTACTAGAGGAGAGAGGGATGGTGATAGATCATTGAAAGAGAGATACAAGATGGATAGATGTCAATATAGAGAGAAGGAAAGGTCAGTATTAGATGGAAAGAGATAGATAGATAGATAGATAGATAGATAGATAGATAGATAGATAGATAGATAGATAGATAACAGATAGTTATAATGAGAGAGAGAGAGAGAGAGAGAGAGAGAGAGAGAGAGAGAGAGAGAGTGAAACTATAAACAGAAAGAAAGATCCTAAAAAATAAAAAAGAGATAGTGTAGAATGATAGATAGATAGCTAGATAGATAGCAGATAGTTATAATGAGAGAGAGAGAGAGAGAGAGAGAGAGAGAGAGAGAGAGAGAGAGAGAGA